GGCACTCTCTCGTGCTCTGTCGTTTTTCCACTCTTATCCTACATACATTACATTACATTACATTACATTACATTACATTACATTACATTACATTACATTACATTACACTACATTACATTACATTACACTACACTACACTACACTACACTACATTACATTACATTACATTGCATTACATTACACTACACTACACTACATTACATTACATTACATTACATTACATTACATTACATTACATTACATTACATTACATTACATTACACTACAGTACATTACAGTACATTACATTACATTACATTACATTACATTACATTACATTACATTACATTACATTACATTACATTACATATATTATTCAGCATACCACTCACCTCGCTACAAGGTTCAGTTGTAGGATGGGGGGACAAACTGGACCCTTGCCTTCCACCCCCTATCCTGAACCCTCAGCTTTATAAGCCCTACACCCTAAACCGTGCGGCGAAGCCACCCGTGACGGAGATGGCGGGAGGAGTGAGGAGCACGGCTACCAGAGCACTAAACCACTGAGCAGAGCGGCCGCGGCGACGTCTTGGTGGCAAGGCTTTGGGCCTATGCGTTAAGAGTCCAAGAGTTTAGGGTTGCAGGCTTTATTCGGGGTCTACAGGGTTTAAGGATTTAGGGTTCTGGGATTTAGGGTTACGGGGTTTAGGGTTACAGAGTTCAGGGGTTTAGTGTTGCGGGCTGTAGGGTTTAGGTTTCATAGTCAACCCGTGACACCAAGCACACTCTGAACTGTCGCCCCTGACACTTAAACCTGTAGACATGAACCCTAAAACCCTGATCCCTAAACCCTAAATCCGAAACCCTAAACCCTAAGCCCTGATCCCTAAACCCTAAATCCGAAACCCTAAACCCTAAGTCCTAAATCCTAAACCCTCCGAGCACGAAGCCACATGAAACCGCCCTTGTTTGGACTCCAACCGGGGAGGCCAGGATTGAAGGCTCTAGCTATAGTCTCCATTGTAGTTCCATTTTTTGGTGTGACCTATGACCTATTAAAAAATAGGACTATAAGGGAACACCCAAAAAGGAACTACGATGGAGACTATAGGTAGGATTGATGGGGAATACGGTTTAGGGTTGGGAGTGCGGCCTGGGGTGGAGGGTTGAGGGTGGAGGGTTTAGGATTCATGGGGACTACGGTTTAGGGCTGAGGGTTTGCGATTGATGGGCTATACGGATGTAAGCCGGGTGTAGTGCTAAAAGAAGGAAACCATAGCGCAGCTCGCAGGGCCCCTATTTCTGAAGTCGCATGCTTCCCGGCATCGTGACGGGACGAGTGTTTGAGGCTTTTAAGGTTTAGGGTGTAGGGTTTAGGGTTTAGGGTTTAGGGTTTAGCGTTTAGGGTTTAGGAGTTCAGGCTTTAAAAGTCTAGGTTTGACGGATTGGGTGCTTGGGCCTTCTGGGGTGTCGTGGCTCATCACTTTGGGGGCAGGGATATGTAAGGCCTTCGGTTTCGGGCGATATCCCTAAAAACCCCAAGGCTTGAAGCCTATAAACCCTAAACTCTAAATCCTATGCCTCAAGATTTGCTTGGACGTGAAATCATCTTCTAAAGTGCCGAGACAGCATCCGAAACATACTCACGGTAAGACTTCTGGGATACCTAACTTGTGGGATCAGGTTTGAGGGGTTTTATAGGTTTAATATACCCCGAAAGTCCTCAAAACACTTTAAAACCCGACCCTTCGACATCATGACCCTACACCCCATATCTAGTACCCCCCTTAAAAGGGACCCCTCAATCCCCTAAACCCTAAACCCTCAACCCTAAATCCCGAAAGCCCTCAGCCCCTCAAGCTTAGAGCGGACCCCTAAACCCTAAAGGCCCCTCAACCCTAAACCCTAAACCCCGAACCCTAAACCCTCAACCCTAAATCCCTAAATCCCTAAACCCTAAACCCTGAACCCTAAACCCTAATTAAATCCCTAAACCCTGAACCCTAAACCCCTCAACCCTGGAGTTCTTTTCCGGCATCATGGGGGGCTCTTCGGGCCAGCGGATCCAGCCGCGCACCGCGCCCAAGAACGCGCTGCCGGCCTAGTGGCTGCTTTGGGCTCAGGGTTTAGAATTTAGGTTTTAGGAGTTAGGGTTTAGGGTTCAAGGT